TGCGGCCGCCGCTGCCGGCGCTCTCCGGCCCCGCTCCCGCGTCCCCCCGGCTGCCCGGCCGGGCCGGGCCCGGTGCCACCATGGCGGGCCGCGCCTCACCGGAATCCCGCGTGGAACATGTACATGCGGGGCCCGGCGGCGCCGGCGGCGCGGGGCGCCCCGAAGATGTTGTCCTTCTTGAGCGAGACGTAGCTGATGAGGGACAGGATGAGCAGCGCCACGCTGAGCATGACGAGCCCCAGCACGCTGGCCACCCGCACCATCTTGCAGCTCCGCATGCCGGAGGCGGCCCCGCGGCTGGGCGGGTGCGGGGCGGCCGCGCCGCTACATTGGGGGCGGCGGCGGGGCCGGGGCCGGGCCGGCTCCGCCGCGCTCGCAGGAAAATGGAGGGACGGGGCGGTGAAATGGCAGCCGGGAGCGCCCGCACGGCCCCGCACGGCCCCCCCGCTCCGCGGCGGGACGGCCTCGGGCGCAGCCCGGCGCCCCGGTGAGCCCCGACAGGCCCTGTGGCACCCCCGGCCCCCGCGCGCCCACCAACAGCACCAGGTTTCCCTCCGCGTCCCCAGGGTGCCCTCCAAAGCCCCAGTACCCCCCAACAGCACCGGGGTCTCCTCTGCCGCAGTTCTCTCCCCAGTGTTCCTCCAGAGACCCTAAGGTGCCCAGACCACCTTTCCCACTGCCTTGGGGGGCCCAAGTGACCCCCCAAAAGCCTTGTGTGGCCCAGTCTGGCAGCCCCTGGACCCCACGGAGCCCCCAGATACGCATGAGGGCTGAGCATGGCTCAGCCATGGGGGGCCTAGGCTGCTGGGGACCCTGTTCCTCTGTAGGGACCCTGTTTCTCTGCTGGGGACCCTGTGCCTCTGCTGGGGACCTGTGCCTCTGCTGGGGACCCATGTCTGGGTGGGTGCACGGCATGCCCAGCTCCCATTTCCCTGTGACACTAGATCCCGAGTGGCCCGTACAGAGCTGTTGGAGCCTGTGCTGTGCAGTGCATGCCCTGAGCTGGCTCAGAAGATCCCTCGCTCTTTAAAAACCTGCTGTTTGGAGCATGGGTCATTAAACTGCCCCTTAAACCACAGAGCAAATCCCATGTGAGCTCCAAGAGAGCCTTCTGCACTCGCAGGGATGTCTCTCATGAACAAGACCCCTGCATGCAGTGTTTCTTCAAACTCCATTTTTCCCCTCACAAAGGTCCCCCCCCAGCCCACTCTGCCTCACTGAAGTGCCTCATAAATAATAGATCCTGTCTTTGTAGCCCCGTCCTTGCTCTGGGCTATTTCCTACTGCTCTCCGTGCACGGAGCTCTCTTTGAAGAGCAGGAACATGAGGAGCTCGCAGGGCTGGGGTTTGCATCAGTGTGGTTCTTCCTCCTGCAGTGGGAGCTGGGCCAGAGTATGGCCTGAGGTCTGTATCCCACCGCTGCGGGATGCCTGTGGCTTCAGTGGAGCGAGAGAAAAGGCTGGGAATGCAGGAAATAGCATGGTTTGACACAGGACAGAGGCATTTTATGTGGCTGTCACCTGATGGCTGTCACTGTCCGTCCAGTGCGTGGTGTCCCCACGTGGATGATGCTGTCCCAGTGAAATCTAAGGCTTCCCAGGATAAACCAGCTGCAGACTTTTGCTTTGAATATTTTAGAAATCAGTTCTATAGCATTTAATGTTGTCTCCTGTAGTTTCTGACCTTGAGTCCTGGGGGCAGGAATAAACCCCAGAGTAAGACTGAGCAGCCCTGGTGTCACAATCCTGCCCATTCTCCTGTCTTTTCTCTTACAGGAGAGTTCACAGCTGCTGGACTGAGAAAGACTGTCCAGTTCCAAGCCCCTGCCATGGACACCTTCCTCTGGACCAGGTTGCTCCAATCCCCATCCAAGAGAAGCAGCACTACTACCACGTCACCACTTTTGGGGACAGCTCATCTGGAGCAAGGACATTGATGGCACTCTGTTCCTGTGTTTGGACCCATTTTCCCCCTGACTCTGCCCATGAAAAAAAAGAGATTTGGGAGGACCTTGGGAAGGTGTTTTGGTAAGAAATGTTTAAACCCTGCCGTGTGCTGCAGCCTCTCCCCTGACTCTCAGTGAGCTCCAGCCCCACCAACAAGTTGCAGTGGAAACAAAGGCAGTTCTTGCTTCAGATTCTTCAGAGATAGCAATATGTCAGGAGCCCCTGGAGAGGCCGAAAGTAAATGAATCAGTGCTAGAAAGTGAAGGATATCATCCGTGCTGAATGGTGAAAAGGAGTCCTGAACAGTATCTTCATTGATTTTCCTGTAATTGACACAGAGCTCGGCTCGCCGGAGGCTGCGGCAGGAGCGGGGAGGCCCAGGTACTGCTCCTGCCTCAATTAGGCAGCTCGGGGCTGGGGGCAGCTCCAGAGGAGCCACATGGTCACAGGGTGCACTGCAAGCTGCCTTGAGGACGAGGGGCAGCTTGGAAGGACATGTCCCAAGCTGTCAGCACCTTCCCACCAGTCCTGGGATAGCCCCAGGTGCACCGAACCCTCAGCTGGTGAGAAACACCGGCCCTAAAGTCAGGAAAATCCGGCAGGAAATCTGCTGAGCTGAGATCTGAGGCTCTCCAAGGAGAAATGTGCCTCGTGTGTGAAACCTCTCAGCTGGGCAGTGGGACAGAGCTGGCTGGCAGGGCTCCCATGGGCACCCTGTCCTGGGGCAGAGTCCCTGGCAGCAGGGGTGGCACTGCAGGAGGGATGGTCCCATCGAGAAGCACCACACAAAAGGATCCAGGAGCATCCATCACTTCACAGCTCAACAGAGGAACCACGTGTCAGGTTGGGCATGCACTTAGCCACTTTTGACTTATTCATGCAAAAGGTACACACGGTCTTTATAACAGCACAGGAAACTTGTGCTTTGAAGATTTGCCCCCACTGAAATCCACTTTTCCCAGGCTATCTTTGCAATTTCCCTCCCTCCTTTGAAGCTGGTGTTTGGGGTCTCCAAGCATAAGGGGGTCTCGGTCTGCCTCACAGCGCTCCAAGTGGTTTTAAAGTCTCTTTAAAACCAGGTGCTTGTCAGCCTGCTGGGGTGTGAAGATCCATGAATTTATTACCACGAGCATTCTCCCTCCTTGGCTGCGTTTAGCAGCCACAGCTGCTGGATTTGCTTGGATTGCAAAGGTATTCCCGGGGGAAGGGTGTGAGGAGCGAGCTCCTGCGGCTCCCGGGTCACCCCGCTGGGCTCAGGAACTTTCACATCCCGGCCCTTAAGGCAGTGGGAGCAGCCAGGGAGGCAGGAGCCGGCGGCAAACAGGGGGCACAGCGGGGACACTGCCGCGTGTGCTGGGGGCCAGACGGGACGGGCTGGGCAGGAGTCAGGCTGGAACCAGGTGGGATCCCAATGGGACCCATGCATGACCAGGTAGGACTGCAGTGGGACCCTGGCAGGAGCCAGGTGGGATCCAGGCAGGGTCCAGGGGGATCCAAGCAGGATCCAGGTGTGATCCAGGTGGGATCCAGGCAGGGTCCAGGGGGATCCAGGTGGGATCCAGGCAGGATCCAGGGGGATCCAGGTGGGATCCAGGCAGGGTCCAGGGGGATCCAGGTGGGATCCAGGCAGGGTCCAGGGGGATCCAGGTAGGGTCCAGGCGGGATATAAGCAGGGTCCAGGCGGGATCCAGGCAGGGTCCAGGTGGGATCCAGGCGGGATCCAGGCAGGGTCCAGGCGGGATCCAGGCGGAACCCCGGCCGTCCCCCGGCGGGACCCCGTCCGCCTGAGCCCCGCGGTTTCCCTGAGTCACTCCCCGCCCGGAGCCCCGCGTTCCTGCTGATGCAGCGCCGGGGTCACTAAATGCTTTGTTGAACGCCTGCCCGCGTGTGCCTAAGTGCTTTCAGCCTGGGTGGCTGCTGAATCGGGTTTCCTGGGACAATTATTTTGAACATAAGTACCCAAAGTCTGCTCGAGTCCTTTTCTAAGTGCTTACGTTATTTTGTTTTAAAAACCTGGCATTACATCCTTATCCCTGTGGTCAGAGCCGTCGTAGAGATGTACTTATTTTAATTATATTTGGAAAAATGCTTGCTGGGCACAACGGGCACGTCTCTCCTCCCGACTCTAAAACGTGCAGTGATTTCTCTCAGCCTGTGAGCTCTCACCCTTCTGGCAGTGCCAGGAGCCTGCCAAGCCCCAGGCATCAGGAATCTTTGGGAATTCAGTCCCAAGCCTCACTGGGAAACAATGGGAATAATCCTGGCATGCCCATGAGGAGGGATTGGGGTGTGTGTTGCTGCCTCCTCCACTCACTGCTGCTTTTAGTGCAGGTCCAGGGTTAGTTAAGCCAGGCCTGGCAAGCTGAAGGGGGATCCTGGGGGCTCAGGAGAGCCTCTGGAACAGGGAAATTGCCAGTTCCCAGGTTATTTTTCACTCTTCACCTGGTTAAACCACCATGATTTTACTAAAGGCTTCAGGATCTAAGCTCATCATTTCTTTTAATAGTGTATTACATTTTAAAACCATCCCACCACCTGGTCTGTTGCGCTGCATTTATGTCTCCCGTGCCGATTGCTTCACCTCCTTCCCAAGGAAACTGGAGGGATCCCAGAGTGGGGAGCCGGATCCAGAGGCTCCCGTTTGCAGTGGAGAAAGAGGTGACGAGCCCAGGTGTGTGCCCAGGGCTGGAGGGCACCCCAGGGCTGCGTGGCACTGCAGGGACTCATGGCACTGCCACTGCCCAAGCTGCCGCTGTGCCCCCGTGGGCTGGCACACGGCCGGGTCCCTCGGGATGTGCCTGCCTGTCTGGGGCAGCCAGCCTCAGCAAGGACAGCCAACCCACTGTGGAAAATCCAAATGAAAGAGCTAAAGCTGGGAAGAGTGCGGAGCGATTAGTGGTGTGCATGCAGCTGAGCTTCCTGCAGATTACTCGTCCTTAGACCTAATCCTCCACGCTGGAAAAAAAATCCCAAATCTCTTCATTTTTTTATGGGGTGATTATCATAGACTGCGGAATGATTGTGTAAAAATTAATCCTGGGGGATGAGATCAGGTTCGGAGCTGCAGTGTGGTGCTGGCCAGAAGCTGGTAAACAAACCTTTCCCGGAGTGAGGGCATTAAGCTCCAGTGGCTCCCTTGTTTTCCCTGCTCTTTATCCACAGCTCCAGCTGGGTGCAGGGGTGGCCAGGGATGCCCACAGGCCCCGGTCCCCAAAGGCTTTCCAGGGCTTCCCTGAGGTGGGAGGGGACTGTGGAGCGGGCAGGGGTCCTTGGCAGGACAGATGGGGACACGCCAGCAGCGGGAGCGTGCCGGCACCCCCGGCTCCATCCTCAGGGCTCGGGTTCAAGAAGGTGCTTAAGCCCAGCA